GCCGAACTTACAGCATTTTTACTTGTTTTTATCAAAATAAAGGAATTTATATAAAAAAACTTGATTTCTAAAATTTTTAATTTCCAAAATTCTAATTTTTTTTTTGTTTTTTTTTTTGTTTTCAAAAATTCTGAAAAATTTATTTTACAATAATTTTTTTTTTGCAATTTTTAACAATATTTATCTTTTGTTACTCCTTCCAATAAAAAATATTGAATTTTGCAAAAAAAAAAACACCTATTATACCTCCACACATATGATGTCGATGATGATTCTCATTTCCGCTCCCTGCCACCCATCCGCCGACTGGCTACGGCTTAGCTGGTGATGATTATGTGCATTTTGGGATGGTTTATGTTCTGTGTAATTTGTTTGAAATGTTATTCCTCATCAAATATTTAAATATTCGAATAAATTGTTGGGCCTCAAACGATGACGATGAATAAACGAAAAATAGTGGCATGAGCGGGGTACGTGTCAGGAAAAAAAAATTGGGAACAATCGGGAAATAAAAAGAAATATTTTTTTGGTAAACTATTTTTCCAAAAAAATTATCTCGATTTTTTGAAAAAAAAAAATATTTGTTTGAGGCGTTTTTGTAGAAAAATGTTTTGAAAGGAATATTCATGGAAATATTTTCTTTTTATGAATTGCATATTTTTCCAAAAAATTTTCTCGATTTTTTGAAAAAAAAAATTTTTTGAGGCGTTTTTGGAAAATTTTCTTTGAAAGGAATATTCATGCCTTTTGATTTTTTCAAATATTTTTCAAACAACCTCACGGAGTTCTTAAAAAAACGTTTATTATTTTTTTATTTATTTTTATTTTATTATTTTTATTATTTTTTTTATTTTTTTTATTTTTATTTTTTTTATTTATTTGATATTTTTTTTTTTGTTATTAAAATTGTGCTTGCCCGAATTTGTTTTATCATTGAAATACCTCTGCGTGTTGTTTTTATTTTTTTTCGAGCATTTTAATTGTTGTTTAATTTTGTGAGTGTGCCCACAGAAATAAATTCAAATAAAAAAAATCCAAAACAACAATATTTTTATATAACCATTGAATGAAGTGCAGAAAAAACCATTCCCAAGAATTGCTTCAATGCCTGAGGTTCAAGTGATGGACATCTGCGACGACGACGACGCCGACAACGAAGACGATGAGTGGCAGAATTTTATATTTAAGCCAAGACTTAAATTACATCAATGGAATACAAATCACATTTGCTTGCGAACACGTTTTGGATTTTGGCACCCATTTCCCCCTACCCTTCACACAATTGAAAACTCAAAATTCACATTTTTGTGTGCGGTAGATAGGTTATTTGTTGCCTTCGGGCCATTGACAACAAGCCCAACATAAAATTGCCGTTAAAAAAATATTATTACCGGCTGCTGAAATTAACCTTAATTTTCTTCTCTTATTTTTGTTTTATTGAGATTTTTTTTTGGATTGTACATTTGGAGGGCCTATTGTGTGTGAATCACGCAAAAACAAAACAAGAACACAATGAAGACTTTTAAAAACGTGCCAAGAAAACAATTAAAATCATTGCCTCAAAAGATATAATTATTTTAAGAGATTTATTTCAATTGTTTGATTTGTTGTTGGAATTCACATTAATGAGTGGTTCTTGAAACAATACTGAAAAAAATTGGTGGCCTCTGGAATAGTTAAACTTGTTGCTCGCGTCTTTAAAAAATATGCTAATAAATCATATTTATTTCTCATTAAATAATATATTTATAAAAAACTTTAATTTTTTTAACAAAAAAAAACATATTTCCTTCCTATCAAAGCACTTCTGTTTGTTTTCAGTGCAAAAGCCGCTGATTTCACTTTCAACGGCGTTAAAAAGTTTGCGTTATTGGCAGTGTAGTGCGCAATCCGGCAACACTGTTTCACTATGACAGAGCTCTCTAGATCGCCATGCAGAGATGTGTAAAAGAGTACTCAATCATACGACAGCTGTTACATTTATCGACCTACGAGTCCCTAATACATTTGTTTGCCCGCTCTTTGCACATTCCATTGTTAAAACGATTTAATTTTTTATAAAAAAAACCGGGAATTTCCGCAATTACCATGGGTTCTACAAAACTCAAAGAAGACCTTAAAAATTGTTTAATAAATTTCGATCGGAAAGTTCTAATAACCCAACTCCTGGATGACTATAAAGTGGAACACAAGGAGGCCGACAAAATTGTGGCAGATTTTGTACAGGAACAGGAAAAGAAACAAAAATTGAAATATGAAAAATTCTATGTGGTGCATGGTGAACAGCAAAAGGAGGATAAACAAATTAAGGAAATCTATAAAATTGTTGAGGAGGCCAAGCTAAAGGAATGGCTAAAGAAATTGAAAAATGCCCAGTCGCTGCTGTATGCGGTGGAGGTAAGTTGTCAACAAAATGATCGCACCTTTAAAAACTAATTTGGGTTCAACTACCTCCCTAGATTGCTGGTGGCGCAAAAACTCCGGCAGCCATTTTCAAGCCCATGAGTGTGGAGGAGGGTGTTAAGCTAAAGCAAAGGGCCGGTACCAAAGCTGCTGCGACAAATGGCATTACAACCTCTGAAAACAAGCCAACAACCTCAAAACCCCCGGAAAAGAAGGAAATAAAACAAGAAGTTAAGAAACCCGCAAATGATGTTTCCAACAAAAACTCTGCCCCTGATACCAAGAAGTCCACACAAAAAACACCCACAAAATCACCGACCACCACCACCAAGGCCAACAAAAAAGGAGGCATTAACAGTTTCTTTAGCTCAGCTGCCAAGAAAACGGAAGACTCCAAGGACACAAAAGCCCCAGCATCGGGGGTGGTAAAACCACCCACACCCAAGAAAATGCAAGACTTCTTCAAAAAACAAACCGAAAAACCCAAGCCAGCCGTTGAGGCAATTAAAAAACCAACAGCCAATACCTCCGTCCAACTCTTCGACGACGACGATGAGGATGAAGAAAATAAAAATGAATCATCGGATGAGGAGGAAAAATTGGAAGCTCTTAAGCGCGACATTATTTCCTCGGATGTGGAAATGAATGCCGATGATGATGATGGCGATGAGGCGGCAAAACCTAGCACCTCCAAACGTCGGCGCATCATTGATTCCGACGATGATGATGAGATTGAAGAACAACCCGCTGTGAAACAAGAAAAACTCGATGCAAGCGCTGTGCAGGATGACGAAGAAGAGGCAAATGTTTCGAAATCTGAAACATTTTTAGATGAAGATGGTTTTGTTATAACCAAGAAACCAAAGCAAAAGGCACAACCGGCCAAAAAGAAGTCACCACCAGCGGCTAGTGTTAAGGCCTCACCGGTCAAGAAAACCTCACCCAGTGAATCAAAGAAAACATCACCGAAATCGGGTAAAGGTGCCGCCACCACCAAAGGAAAACAGTCTAATATTATGAGCTTCTTTGGGAAGAAATAATCCATTAAAATTTCTCTAAACGTGGATGTTATATAAAGTTATAAAATGCATGGAAATATTGGATCATTTTGAGAATTCCTTATATTTTTTTCAAGTTTGGAAGTCTGAACTAGTTTTAGTTGTATTAAATGCTTATATTGTTTTCCAAATCTTTCACCAATTAATTTTGTCACGAAAGAATATAAATACCTTTACTATAGAATAAGAATAAATACATAAAAAATAATATTAAACTATAAACTTAGGGGGTTTCAATTCCAATTGTGGATATGTATAGTTTTTCAAATCCTTCCAAGGGTCAATCAAACTACAAACAATGAACAATTTTGTTAAGGGGTATCGATGCCGAAAATGTGGAGATTTGCAAAAATTGGGATTTGCATCAAAAAGGGCGGTTTGGGACAAAAAACTCAAAAAAAAAAAAAAAAATCAGAAGGTAGCTTGGTATGACTTATGCCAAAAAGCGGATGTGTATAAAATATTTTTCGCGTGGAGATAAGCTACTTACAAGGGACCACTAAACAACATTTGATTTGGTTGGAAATTACAACCAAAACTTAAAAAAATACCGAAAATCAGAAGGTATTGTTATATGGGGACTACATGAATAAGTGGACCGACTTTGAAGCTTTTTGTCGTCAAGGAGTCTCCAATATATCAAAAAAGTTGGAATTGCCCGAAAATATTTAGAGGATCCTTTATATGGGGGGTTATACTAAAAATGGACCTACGAAAACTAGTTGACATGGTTGCATGTAAACAAAGTTAATCTTCCATTTGAATTGTCAAATTACACTTTATTTAATTGAAAATTGATCCAAAAAACACCAAGAAATACCGTTATATAGGGCCTGCACCTAAATGTTGACCGATATATACCATTTCTTCTTTTATATCCTAGAAACAATGTCATGTCAATGTCCGTGTATAGGATTTTATGCTTATCATAAATATACATACATAAATATGTTCCTCTTGGGAAACTTCACGTTTTACTATTTTCTTTGAAAAAAGTCGCGTCATAGCCAAAAACGAATAATTTTTCTTTTAAACAAAATGTTTCTCAATGACCACCATCATTTTATCACTGAATTCACAAGAAATAAAGTATTATGATTAGGCATGCTCACTAGCATCCGTTTTTGTTGTTGTTTTTTGTAACAACAAATGTCTTGCATTTCTTTTTAATTCATAACTGTCGTTGCTTTGCAAAGGGGCAATGGAAACTCTCACCATTATAAACTCTTTCAGTGTGAGCATCACCGGATTAGGATAAAAACAAAAAAGAGAGAGAGAGAGAGAGAGAGAGAGAGAGTAACAGCATTCATTGAATGACCCCCCTTTTTTGTCAAATAGGGCCTATGACGTCTGTGTATTAACAGCTGATCTCGAATGGTTCTGATGCTACTGTATGTTGTTGTTGTTGTTGCTGCTGCCGTTGTATTGTTCCCCTTTTATCTAATCGTGACTTTTGTTTACATTGTTTTACCGTTATCAAGTTGATACATTCAAATTGTTTACATGTCATTTTTGTCGCATTTCCTATGAAATTACTTAACTTAACAGAGTTGTTGTGTGCCGCGTCTCGTCTACTGCGAGGAGTACGCATTTAAGTTTTAAAGATTTTTTTATTAAAAACTAATCCCAAGTAGAGTTAATTTCTTCTAATCTGTGATTATCTTTCTTCTTATTTCTTTGCAGTTTAATTTTTGTTTTACTTCGCTTATAAAAGCCATCATTTACAATTCTTCCAAAGGCGGGCGAGAAGGAGGAAGAAGTTTAACCAAACAACACAAAGTTTCATTAAAGCCGTGCCCGCAAAAACAGCTTCAAAATTACTTACAAAACTTTAAATTCCACACCCACAATTGAAAACGCATTTAAAATGCGTTTCGAACCACTGGGCCAGAAAATGTTTACACGACGAAATTGGTTGCTGCGCTGCAGTATACTTATCAATATTGCTGTGATTTTATATATCTGCAGTCATCTTATGATTGGAAATCGTTATACCCTGACGTCGGGTTCACAGTTTGTGATACAGGAACAGCCCAGCAGTGCCATGCAGCAGCAACAGCAGCAAGCTGAAAGGGGCATGGTGCGGGAAGCATTGGCCAAAATGGTAAGTAATCTAGAAATATTTTCCCCATGGGAATCCCTAAATTTCCGTTTCTTTTCTGAAATTACAGGAAATGCTTGAAGAAAAACAAGAAGTTCCCAAGCCTCCCAGTGAAACTAAGGCTGATATAAGCGGCAACAGTGGTGGTGGCGGTAGTTCCCATGACCTACAACAGCCGCCAGTTAAAGATGCCGATGCACCCCCTGAAATGGATCCCGATATTGGTGATCCAGCCAATGTCATTGGCAATATTGGCAGCAGCAATGCCGCCAATAGCAATTTTGTAAATAACACAAATGCTGCCGATCCAAACTATTTGGTGGGCGGCGATGAAAAAGACTTTGACGAACGCTTGCGTAGCATATTGAAATGCCACGATAAAGCGTATGAGGCCGAGACTCTACAACGTGGAGATTTTTGGGTCTTAAAGAATTATGTTCGGGCCGAACATGGTGAACTGAAGTGCCATGAATCCATTACCTATACCACACATGCAGATTATACGTTTTTAGATAATCTGATACCATTGTTGGAAAGGTAAACGCAACACAAACCACATCAACAAAAACAAATTTACCTTACCTCCTCCTTCTTTTTTTTAGATGGAATGCTCCCATCAGCATAGCCATGCATGCACCCGGCACCGACTTCCAACCAACATTGGATTCCATAAAATATCTAAGAGACTGCTTGCCCAATAGTAATTTAGTGCGCATGTATGCCACTTTCCATATATATTTTAGTACCAAACATATCCCCAAAACGATACCCAAGTATTATGATGCTCTTAAGGTGGGCTACAATTGTACGCTGCCAGCGCCCTATGTCAATGTGACATCGGGCCATTTGTATAAGACGCAAAAGAAGCTGTTGTACCCGGTCAATGTGGGCCGCAACATTGCCCGTGATGCTGCCATAACACATTTCATATTGGCCAGCGATATTGAGTTGTATCCGAATCCGGGTCTGGTGAAGAAATTCCTGGAAATGATCGCCCGCAATGAGCCTTATTTGAATAGAAAAGCACCGCGGTGAGTGGAAAAAATTTATGTTTTTTTAGATCCCAATTTCCAAGGAAAATAGTTGTAATCACGGCATTTTAGGGCTACGTTTTGGTATAGCCCCCATATAATGGTACCTCCCTATTTTCGGTATTTTAATGATTTTAGCAACATTATTCATCGGAAATGTCTCAAATTTGGTATTTGAAGTTTATAATGGATACTAAAGCCTATGACAGAAAATTGTCTGTGCAGGTCCACGTCTTCGTATAGCCCCCATATAACGGCACCTCCCGATATTCGGTATTTTGATGATTTTATCAATATTATTCATCGGAAACGTTTCAAATTTGGTATTTGAAGTTCATAATGGATACTACAGTCTGTGACAGAAAATTGTCCGCGCAGGTCCACGTCTTCATATAGCCCCCATGTAACTGCACCTCCCGATATTCGGTATTTTGATGATTTTAGCAACATTATTCACCGAAATTGTTTCAAATTTGGTATTTGAAGTTCGTAATGGATACTACAGTCTATGACAGAAAATTGTCTGTGCAGGTCCACGTCTTCATATAGCACCCATATAACGGCACCTCCCGATATTCGGTATTTTGATGATTTTAGCAACATTATTCACCGGAATTGGTTCAAATTTGGTATTTGAAGTTCATAATGGATACTACAGCCTATGGCAGACAATTGTCTGTGAAGGTCCACGTCTTCGTATAGCTTTCATATAACGGTACCTACCGATATTCGGTATTTTGATGATTTTAGCCACATTATTCACCGGATTTGTTTCAAATTTGGTATTTGAAGTTCATAATGGATACTACAGCCTATGACAGGAAATTGTCTGTGCAGGTCCACGTCTTCGTATAGCCCCCATATAACGGCACTTCTCGATATTCGGTATTTTGATGATTTTAGCGACATTATTCACCGGAATTGTTTCAAATTTCGTATTTAGAGTTCGTAATGGATATTACAGCCTATGACAGAAAATTGTCTGTGCAGGTCCACGTCTTCGTATAGCTCTCATATAACGGTACCTCCCGATATTCGTTATTTTGATGAATTTAGCAACATTATTCACCGGAATTGTTTCAAATTTGGCATTTGAAGTTCATAATGGATACTACAGCCTATGACAGAAAATTGTCTGTGCAGGTCCACGTCTTCGTATAGCCCCCATATAACGGCACCTCCCGATATTCGGTATTTTGATGATTTTAGCAACATTATTCACCGGAAATGTTTCAAATTTGGTATTTGAAGTTCATAATGGATACTACAGTCTGTGACAGAAAATTGTCTGTGCAGGTCCACGTCTTCGTATAGCACCCATATAACATAATTTTATCGACATTATTCACCGGAATTGTCTCAATTTTGGTATTTGAAGTTCATAATGGATACTACAGTGCAGGTCTATGCCTTCGTAGCTCTCGATATTCGTTATTTTGATGATTTTAGCTACATTATTCGCAATTTTTTTTTCCAAGTTCCGCATTTGAATATTGTAATGGCTCATGACAAAAGTTGCCTATGCAATGCCGACCCCAATATAACGGCTACATTCGGTATTTTTCAGATTTTAACAGAATTTTTAAGCTTTTTTTTTGAAATTTCAAATTTAATTTTTTTTTTGAAAATTTCAAATTTCAATTTTTTTTTTGAAAATTTCAAATTTGAATATTCAAAGTTCGGCCCGGTCGACCTTATAGATTTTTTACTTGTTTATTTGCTATTTGATATTAATTTAGTCTCTTCTCATTTCCCTAGTGTTTTTTTTTTTTTTTTGAAAATTTCAAATTTATTTTCTTTTTTTTTTGAAAATTTCAAATTTCAATTTTTTTTTTTTAATTTCATTTTTTTTTTGAAAATTTCAAATTTGAATATTCAAAGTTCGGCTCGGTCGAACTTACAGCTTTTTTACTTGTTTTATTTGCTATTTGATATTAATTGTGTCTCTTCTCATTTCCCTAGTGTTTTCCCCCTGTCCATTTTTGAAGTGGAGGACAGCAGTCCTGTGCCCCATGACAAAACCGAATTACAAGAGTTCCTGCGCTCGGGCAAAGCCATACCATTCCACAAACGTGTCTGTGCCAGCTGTCACGGCGTACCGAAATCCAAGGAGTGGATGGCTGCCAACGAAACTGACGAATTAAGTGTCTTCCATATTGGAAAGCGAACCGGTTACTTTGTACACTGGGAACCGATTTATATAGGAACCAATGCCGAGCCCCACTATGACGAGCGTCTGAGTTGGGAGGGCAAAAGTGATAAAATGACACAGGTTAGTGCAACATAATTTTATTTATTTTTTTTTCATTATTTTAAAATGTATTTTTTTTTCGTTTTTTTAGGGCTATGCCTTATGTGTCCTAGACTATGAATTTCATATACTAGACAATGCCTTTTTGGTCCACAAACCCGGCATAAAGGTACTCAAAAAAGACACCCGTCGTGCCATGCTGGCCGGCAAAACCAATCAGCTGATACGTAAAATAATCTATCCCGAATTGAAAATTATGTATGGCACACGTACTGGCTGCGCCGTATAGTGGTTAATTAAGCATAAAAGTTGAAAAACTTTTCATGCTGTTAGTACTGCTACTCAGTTGTCATCATCGATGTCGTCGTCATCATCCACATCTACATCATCATCCTCATCGTCGTCGTCGTCGTCCTCTTCATCCTTAACATATAGAATATGGAATTGTAAATCCCTTTTCGAGTTGAGCAACATTTTTGGTGGATGGTGGAAACGTACAAACTTCCTGTGGTATTTATGGCGTTTCTGGGATTAGAATTTTGGAGCGTTTATTTCAATTGGTTTCCGTTTCGTTTTTTTGTTAAGATTGGCAATTTAAAGTTTAATTTTGATATTAATGGCGCATTTATTTCAAATGTAATCCATACTTGCAAAACATTCCTTTAACTATTTGAGAAAAAGTTTTAAAAATTTACACGAATCTTTTGCCAAACCCAAATTGGCAATATTCACAAACACAAGATGTTATAGATTGTCAAATGAAATATTTTGGAGAATTTATTTGACTTTAATTTTGCATTTAAACTGAATTTTGATTTCCCTAGTTGTTTGTTTTAAGATCTAAAGTTTATAAACCTTTTTCGAAGCAAACCCTTAAATTTTAATATTAAATCTAAACTGGAATTGTCAATCTCTTTGCCAATTGAATTGTTATTTCTTCATATATATAAAAAAACAACACCAACAAATGCGAAAAGGGACATAATTTATTTTTATAAATCTTAAAAAGAAACTTAAATATAATTACCAAACAAAAAAGTACTAACGAAATACAAATTGTTGAATATTGAATTCCAAACAAAAGAAAAACAAAAAATATTTTTGTAAACAAAAAGAACTTAGAAATTAATTAAAATTACATTGCAAATGAATGTAAAGAGATAGAGGAGAAATTTTAATGCCACAAAAAAAGAAAATGAAAAGAAAACATGGAAAATGAAAAGAAAACCCCATTCTAGTAGCCATACTGTGAAAGTGTTGAATAGAAAAACCCAAACCAAGCTTCAAATAGCAATAGTAGTTTTGAAACCAACATGTCACAAAAATCAATCACACACACAACTGTTTTTCAAATTGGCTATAAATGTAAAATTAATCAAAAAATAACTACCGCAGAATTATTCTAATATAAATTTTGTGTTATGAGAAAATTGAAGGACCAAAAAACAAACTAAAAGAACGAATGTATACATTTTTCTTGTGGTATTTGTAATATACATATTTTTTTAGGGAATTCTTTAAGAATTCTTTCCAATGAAAATTTATAGAAATTGTATTTTTTTATGTTCACATCGGTTTTTGAAGTAATTTTCCTCAATTTACGTTTCCTTTCTTCTTTAGTTTAATTAGTATTTTGTTTTTTCTTTTTTCATTTTAATTTTAGTTTAATTATTATTTTGTATTATTTATTTATGTTAATAAAACACAGAAAAAAAAACACCAACAATGAACTATTAAAATACAAAACGACATCACAGAAAACATACAACACACATATACATATATTTTATACGTTTACAATTGGAAATCAAGGGATATTCTAAAATGATATCAAATCACTTTCCAATGTAAGTTTTAAACTCCTTGTAGGTTTTTTAAATTAAAAATCAATGGATATTCTTCTAGAAGAAAAGAAATCGTGGAACTTGCAATTGAAAACAAGTCAAATTTTATTAGGGAAAAAATAATAATGTGGTCAATTTCCTAATTGAAAATCAATCGATTATCTAATTTGAAATCAGTGGAAGTATAATTAAACAAAAGAAAAACAAACAATTTTCTAATTTGAAATCAGTTGAAGTAAATGCAAACAGGAGAATTTCTTTTCTTATAAAAATCATCTGATAGACAGACCCGACGATTTCCTAAAGGAAAAGTGCTTTCAATCTAATAGAAGATGAATCGACTTTCTAATTCGAAATCCGTGGAAGTATAATTAAACAATAGAAAATCAATCGATTTTCTAATTTGAAATCAGTTGAAGTAAATTTAAACAAAAGAAAATTCTTGATTTTCAAATAATTGACATAAAAAATCCTGTATAAAAACATTCAAAAAGGGCTATGTCTTTAGAAAACGTTTTCCCTCGATGTTTTAATTCGAAAATATATTGAATATATTGAAATCAATTTACATAAAAAATACTGTATAAAATCATTCAAAAAGACTAGGTCTTTAGGAAACGTTTCCTCCTCCAAATTGAATATTTTAAAAAGAAACCCCTCACAACAAATTTCATTTGAAAAAACAAAACACATTTTTGGTGGTCATTTCAATTCAGGGGTAAGAGACCTTCTATAGATAGGCCCAAAATTTGATTCAGAGCCACAGGAGTCCAAAATTACTTCTCACCAAAATCAAAATCCAAAATGACTTCTCACCAAATTCAATATTCTTAGTCATCCTGCTGGTTTTTTTAATAGCTGCGAAGAAGTCCCCATAAATATTCCTTTCCGTTTTCCATATAAAGATCATCCGGTCTTTTACAGCAAGAAGATTTTTTGATCTTCTAGAAGGGAACAAAAAAACATATTTCGCTTCTCAAAAATTTCCAACCTCGCAACCCAAAGACTTTTCAAAATAAAATCAAAAACGTTGAAGTCCAATATTGCCAGATATCTTATTGATGATTATACCCTACACCACTACAGGGCCAAAAGGACACGAGATTGACCTATAGTTCCACAGAATCAGATTATGAGTCGACGTATGCATGTCCGTGCGTCCGTCTGTGCATTCAGTTTTGAAAACAAAGTACAGGTCCCATTTATTGCCCGATCCAGATGAAATTTTGCTCAAATCATTTGTTTGACCCAAGGACGAACCCTATAGAAATTGAAGATAATCGCTCAGAATTTAGATATATCTAAATATATATCTTCGTCCGACTTGTCTTTTGAGTTTATCTTTCTCAGCCGTAATATGCACTCTGTAGTAACGATATTAGGGAAAATATATCAAATACAGCTCAGAAATCCCCACGCCAAATTTTATCGAGATCGCTTTAGATTTGGATATAGTTCCCATACATATCTTCGTCCGATTTGCCTTTTATTGGGCACCAAACGTATAATATCAGCCTAAATGGGATGGAATTTCGTACTTAAGACCAAATTGAGTCTAGAGACAAGTATGTCAAATTTGTTGAGAATCGGTTCAGATATAGCTATAGCTCCCACATATACTGTTCATCCAATTTGTTGAGTTTGACCTGCACAGCCGTAATATGCACTCGGTAGTAACGATATTTGGGGGAAATAAATCAAATACAGCTCAGAAATCTCTATGCCAAATTTTATCGAGATCGGTACAGATTTGGTTATAGCTCCTATACATAACTATATCTGATTTCAAATTAATTTTGCACCAAATGGGTAATACAAGCCCGCATTAAAAAGGGGCTTGAAGATGATATCAATAAATATCCCTCCTCTCAGATATGATTATAATAAGTATTTCAATGGTTAACTAATGGGCGGCTCTTAAAAAAGGTATTTGTGGGTCTAATAAAAAAACTCACTTTTTGTATAAAAATTTTACTGACCAGCTATAAGTTTTTTTGGAGAAGGCCTTTTTTTAGGGTCTAATAAAAAATGCAAGAATTCTTTTAATCCATTTATTGCAGAAATATATTTTTCTCTGCAGAAAAAGAGGCCCTCTCCATGATACTTATAGCGAGTCAGTGGAATTTTTATTCTCAAAAAAAAAAAAAAAAAAATGTCAGATAAATTAAAGTGTCTCAAACATCTTCTGTTAGGAGGCTTCACTTTTTACTGTGAATTTCAAAATCATGCTCTCATGTCTTCAATTGCAAGTTCTTCTGATATTTTTGGTGAGATATAAAAAGTGATCACTGTTTTCTATCCTTTTTTTCAATTTCAAAAACTTTGCTTTGCTCTTCCACTTCCACCTCTAACTTGATTTCAATACATTACAGTCCATATTCTTCGTACACATAAACATACACACATATATTTTGTTCCTAATACTAACTACAACACTTGATAATTTTCACATAATCAATTTCCAATTTAGGAGACTATATTAACAATGAAAAAAGTAATACTAAAACAACACAATTTAATAAAAATGAAAAAAAAAAAAACATCATTAAATGAAATTAATTTTTTTAAGCTGGAAAAACGTGATATTTGTACTAGTTCTTAAACATAAATTTCTTGGTCAATTCAAGAATTAAAAAGAAAAAACACAACAACAACAAAAACCTAAAAAAATAAAGAAAATCGTAAACGAAAAAAAAAAACAGAAGAAAATAAGTGAATAGCGTTTAAGTTTTAGTTTTTTAAGACAACAACAAATAAGAAAAAAAACAAAACCTTGAAAAGCAAATAGGTTTTTAAGAGCAATACAAAGCAAGAAAACAGAGATAGAGAAACGTTTTAAAACCATTGCACATTTTATAATTTGTATTACTAAAGGAAGAATCCTGAAAATAAAAACAGAAAATCTTAAAATTAAAATGAAATTGCAAATCTATATACTATAATTTCATTTACACTTTTACTATATAAAAACGTAATGCTATTAAAAACATACTTCTTTGTAAATAAGTAAATACTTACTAAAAAAAGAAAATCTATATATTTTTAAAATTTCAAAAAATAATGCATTGAAAAAGTTTTTTTTTGATGGTAGTTTATTTATTGTTTTTAATTTGTAAAATCAAAATCCATTTTAATATGGTAATACATCCACACTAGAAGACTTTCAGCAATAAGCTTTTCTTTCTCTCTTCCTCTTAAAGAAAATGTAATAAAAAACAATTATTGAAAAATAAATTTGAAAATTAATTTAATAATATGAAGAATTAAAATGGAAACAATATGAGAAACATAAGTGTGGGGGCCCTTTGAAACATGTGAAAGTTTGAAATAGTCTTCTTCTTTGAGAAGGTATTCTGGGAAGAGCTCCATCGATTCATAAACAAAGTGTGAAATAGAAGTGAAGGCATTCCGAGACATTTGAAAATTTTAAATTATGTTTCAGAAACAAAATGTGAAATATAAGTGAGGGTATTCCAGGTCGTTTGAAAATGTTGATTCTTTCCACGTTTTCATGTAGGCCCCATATCACGGTAACTCCCAGTATGTTGAGGATTTAAGCAATATTTTTCACCGGAATTGATTCAAATTTGGTTCTTGAAGTTCGTAATAGGTACTACAGTCTAAGACAAAAAATCGAGTCCAAGCCTTCGTATATCCCCCATTAAACGATACCTCCCTATATTAGGTATTTTGATGATTTTTGCTTTGCTTGATTTGATTTCGTAGTTGTTTCAACGACCTATAACAAAAAATCGCGTATGCAGGTTTTCGTCTTCGTATAACCCCATACCAATATCTCCCAATATTCGGTATTTGATTTTAACGGTATTATTCACCAGAATTATTTCAAATTTCGGAAATGATGTTCGTAATGGGTTCTACAGACTATAATAAAAAATTACTTATGAAGCCAAACGTCTTCGTATAGCCCCCATATAATTTAATTTGAGAGGTATTTTTTACGGATTTTTGTTTTTCTTTTTTTGAAAAATTTCAAGTTCGTTCAAAATGGTGGAGGGTATTAAAAAGTTCGGTCCGGCAAAAGTAAGGTGCTTTTTACTTGTTTTTTTTTTTTTTTTTTTTGAGAATGTATTTTGGTATTCGATGATAAGGTCCCTTGGCCATCTTCTATTTAAAAAAAAACCCTTTCATCAATTTTTTTTTAAAAATTTTCCAAGAATATTTCTCAGCTATGGAGGCTCCTCGACACTTTTGTTTCAAAAATCCAGATTAAGAAATAAAAATAAAGTAATAAATAAATAATATTAATTAAAAATTTAATGATACTAAATTCATAAATAATAATAAATAAAAACATAAATATATAAATGGGTAAATAATAAAAAAAATTTGAACGTAAATAAATAAAATAATTTATAAATAAAAATAAACAACTAAATGGACGGCTAATAATAAAAAATAAAACAAAAATATATTTTTTAATTTTTTTTATTATGATTATAATAATTATATTTAAAAAATAAATAAATATAGATGTATAATTCAGAAACATAAAAAACTAAAGAAATTAACAATAATAATAGTAATAATAATAATAATAATAATAATAATAATAATAATAATAATAATAATAATAATAATAATAATAATAATAATAATAATAATAATAATAATAACAAGAATAAAAATAACAATAATAATAAATATAATAATAATAAAATAATAATAATAATAATAATAATAATAATAATAATAATAATAATAATAATAATAATAATAATAATAATAATAATATTAATAATAATAATAATAATAAAAGTGACAATAATAATAATAATAATAATAATAATAATAATAATAATAATAATAATAATAATAATAATAATAATAATAATAATAATAATAATAATAATATTAATAA